TCTTCGTTGTTGAATGACAAAGTGCCTTCGAGCACATAGTCTCGGGTTCATTTTTCCCTAGTGGTTGATACCTTAGTGTGTTTGAACATGGGTTCCTGTGGAACGTCGACCCCACCGACGATCATATGAATGACATATTGGGGGTCCTCCTGTTCACTTTTCCTGTTGGCGTCCCTTTCTCCGAAATGATTCTTAGCTCGATCGCTGAGGAACTCTCAAAGGTGGCCCTCGTTGAATAGACGGGCCACCTCCTCCCTTAATTGTCTGCAATCCTCGGTCTTATGACCATGTGTGCCATGATACTTGCACATCAAATTTGGGTTTCTTTGGGAAGGATCGGTCTGTTTGGGTCTGGGCCACCTAGTATCTTTGATCCTTCCGATTGCCGATACAATGCCCGATGCGTCGATGCTAAAGTTATATTCTGATAACTGAGGTGCCTCTACGGGATTGGCATACTTGTCGAAACCACGTTTGCTCATAAGTCCCCGAGAACTCTGTCCTTGATTACTTCTTCGATTGTTCCGGGCGGAATTGCATCCTGAACCATTGTTCCTTCGATCTGCGGTATATGGTTGATATCGGTCTCTGTTCGACCTTCGTTCCCTGTCGATGTCCCTATGGTTCTTAGGTGTCGACCTGTTTGGATGTACTGAACCGGAGAGGGCTCTTAGTTGATCGTCCTCGACCCTGATCTTCGACTGATATTGATTGTGCATATCTGCCCAGCTTACGGCCGGATACTCGATCAAACTTTGTTTTAATTGACGTGATGCTATCAAACTCCGCTCGTTCAACCCTTGGGTGAAAAGCCTGAACGGCCCAATCATTTGTGACCGGTGGCAATTCCATGCGTTCTATTTGAAATCGGGACACGAACTCTCTCAGCATTTCATTATCCCTTTGCCTTACTTTAAAAAGATCTGATTTCTTCGTTGCGACCTTTATGGCCCCTGCGTGTGCCTTTATGAAAGAATCTGCTAACATGGCGAATGAGTCGATGGAATTTGGTGGCAAGTTGAGATACCAAATCATTGCTCTCTTCGAAAGGATCTCTCCGAAGTTTTTCAACAGCACAGATTCGATTTTATCATATTCTAAATCGTTACCCTTTATAGCACACGTGTAAGAGGTGACGTGTTCGTTAGGGTCGGTCGTCCCATTATATTTAGAAATCTCGAGCATGCGAAATTTTTTGGGGATCAATTTTGTAGCTGCACTCGGGGGAAAAGGCTTTTATACGAATCTTTTGGAATCCAACCCTTTCAACACTGGTGGTGCCCCCGGGATCTGATCGATCCTTGAGTTATATGTTTCCACTTTTTTATTGTTTGCTTCGATCCGTTTTGTGAGTTCCTCGAGTATCTTAGCAATTTCGGGATTAGTCCCTGATTCTTGCTCATTTGACCTTACTTCTAGCTGGCTCCGTTCTGTGGGTGATTTCTCGGAGTGGACTGGGCTCTGGTCTGCTTGGTATCCGGGTTTGACTCTGCAGTTGAGCTATTGCTACATGTTGAGCTTGCAATATTTCAAAAATCATACGCAAGCTGATTCCGTTTTCCTCAACGTTATGGGTTTCTCGAGCTGCACATCGAGTACCACCATGAATTCTATTTTCAGGTTCAGAACGTAGGTTTGCCTCAATGGCCACATGCGAATTAACGTCTAATGGTACTTCGACTCGAGCTCCAATGGCGTCGACAAGTGGCATTCCAGCCCTAGGCGTCAAGTTGTTGTTCTCACCTTGAATGCCAACTTCGTTGTCGATATGTAAGGACATTTAATTGAGAACTCGTCGTTGCTAATCCGAAATCAAAGATACTTCCGAAAACAAGCGTAAGATGGTGTGTTTTTGCAGATTCGTATCAAATAATCACTATCATCCTTAGCCCCACGGTGGGCGCCAAACTATTTACCCGAAAAATAGATAGAATTGAATTTGTATGTAGTTCTAAGGGTATGTGGTATAACTTGACACAAATCGTAAGAGTAAATAAGAATATCGAATATTGACTGTAAGGATGAAAAATAAGCAAAGTTGAAAAGATGATGATTTATGGATTAAGCAAGATGAATCAATCTTATGAAGCTAAAAAAGGATAATTCTTCAATATGGGAGTGTATGATATCTGAGTTACAATGTATGCAAAATTTCCCCCTTTACAGAAATATAGTCATCCCTCTTATAGTGTAGGGATCCTACTTTAGATATAATTAAAAATACATAGTGGGGAACCCATGATAAATCAGTTTTTCCTTAATTCCCGCTGAGATTCTTTCCCTTAGTGCGGTTGTAACGGCTCTTGTCTACGAGCTCGATCTTGATCGGACTCAATATTGGTCGGTATTGGTCGGTTTTCAGTTTTAGAGCTCGATGCGAGTTTGAGCTCGATGTTGACTCGGGGCCCAGAATTAGGCCGGTATTGCTTGGCTTTTGGCCCTTAAGCTCGATTCCATCGCTTCTCATCATAGTTCGATTTGGACCCGAGCTCGATAATGTCTTCGAGCTCGGTATTTGACATGTCCCTGAAACTCGAAGCTCGTTTGTGCCTTCTTCGGATCCCATCTTGATATTATGAAGACTTTCTTCGGTGTATTATGTTCCCCTCTCGATCAGTCGTACGAATGTCGAAATCAATTTCGACCGTATACAATATTTATGTGACCCAATCAGATCAATTTTCTTCTAGACTAAATAATTTACTTTTTAAGAGTTCTCTACTATTATGCTCGGTTAAAATTATATACAACTCAGAGGAAAAGGGCGTAATAAGAAACAGGTTAATATGGAGGCTAGGACCCTTTATCTGTATTATTTATTATATAGGAGAACAAAAGGAATAAACAGAAATTTAATAGGTTAGCACCACTCGTCATACTTTCTGTTAGAAAGGAAAAAGTTAGAGTGACATAACCTGGTAATAAAGACAACGGCAAAGGGCTAAATATATCAATTTATTTTCGAAAATGGTCTAAGAATACCTATTATTATATTATTGGGTTATCTATACCTCTGCAGTCATATTTTGGGTTCAAATATACCCCTCATTTAAACGGAGGGACACGTATCATCGTCCTGTTGGTCAAATCTAAATATCTCCTAATTAATTAAAAAGACTCATTATCCATACCCGAAAAATAATTTTTTTTTGTAAAAACTGGAAAAAACTAAAAAAAACATTTTTACTAAAAACTGAAAAAAACGAAAATATTTTTTTTCCAGTTTTTACAAAAAACTGCTTTAAAAAAACTGAAAAATATTTACTAAAACAATATTTTTGTAAAAACTGAAGAAAAAAACTGAAAAGTAATTTTCTAAAGCAATTAAAAACTGAAAAAAACTGAAATATTTTTAACTAAAAACTGAAAAAAAATATATTTATTTTTTCAGTTTTTACAAAAACACTGCTTTAGAAATTTGCTTTTTAGTCTTTTTTTTTTTTAATTTTTACAAAAATATTATTTTAGAAAATATTTTTCAGCTTTTTTTAAAGCATTTTTTTTGTAAAAGCTGCAAAAATTTTTTTTTTTTTTTCAGTTTTTAGTATAAAAAGTTTCAGTTTTTACAAAAAAGATTGCTTTAGAAAATTGATTTTCAGCTTTTTATTTTTCAGTTTTTTCAAAAATATTGTTTTAGAAATTTTTTTCAGTTTTTTCTAAAGCAGTTTTTTTTGTAAAAACTGGAAAAAAAATATTTTCTTTTTTTTCAGTTTTTAGTAAAAATAATTTCAGTTTTTTCCAGTTTTTACAAAAAAAATTGCTTTAAAAAATTTCTTTTCGGATATGATTAATGAGTCTTTTTAATTAATTAGAAGATATTTATAATTGACCAACATGACGATGACACGTGTCCCTCCATTTAAATGAGAGGTATATTTGAACTCAAAGTATGACTGCAGGGGTGTAGATAACTCAATAGTATAACGAAGGGTATTCTTAGACCATTTTCGAAAATAGAAGGGTATATTTGACCCTTTGCCGTAAAAACAAATATCCTTTAAATTTTTTAGTTGGAGTACTTATTTTTCTTTAAAGATGAAAATATAACAGAAGGAAAGAGAGTAGGCCTAATGATCACTTGTATAAGGTTAGTAAACATATTGATGACAAGAATTGAACTTTAGTCTCTTTGTTTGAATTTAATAACGCTAATTCTGTTGACGGATTGGCTGTTGATTTTCTCTTCGACAAGAGTGAAGAATGTTATTATTCTAAAGTTTTGCTTAGAGTTATTTTATTTTCAAGTAAATTTCACTTTCCTTTAAACTTAATCCTGAACACAAAGTACCTCCAAATTTTTCCTTGCAGATAAACTCCCTAACCATGCTATTTTGGCGAAATACTAAAATATTCTATAGGCGATTACACAAAATAAGTAGTCTTCAACGTAGAGAGATGAATCTCTTAATTGTAGCTATAAACAAAAAAAGGACGAGGATGACAAAATTGTTTATGATTGCACAGAATAATTACAATTCTTCTCAAGAAAAATAAGGGACTTGAAATAAAAAGAAACTAAAACAAATTCCAAATAACATATAACTTATAAGTATATCTTTTTAATATAATTTGTACGGTGAAATTATATTCTTATCTTCTAATTAACTTTCTTTGTCTGCTAAAATTGCAAATGAAATAATCGTTTGTTTTCTTTATAAGGCATTTTCATCCTTTTGTCTCATTTTTTTTTCCAATGGTGCTAAAATTAAAGATGCTACCTCGTTAATTTTTCTTGTGCCGATGATCTATTAAAAATAAACTCTCTACATTCTTAAAATGGAGTAAAATTTACGTATGCACTATCCTCCCAAATTTCGGTTATAAGATTAAAAGGTATATGTTATTGTTGTAACTCTTAAATTCAGTATAATTTTGTTCAATCTGACATCATAACATTCTCAAAAGTTTGACCAAGGGATTTTTTCTCCATATTACAAATTATTAAAAAATTGTTATCGAAGGGATAAAGCGAAATTTGTCCTTTATCTACTCCAAATCCAACTTTGGGAGAGACTGCAATTACACTCTGTAGTCTGTACTCCCAATTCCAATTTCCATAAGCCTAAACAAAGCAAAGAGAAGGGAAAATATCTACTACTCTCTCTTTCTATTTCAACATTGTGTGTGTACATGATATTTGGTCGTCACTCTCACGCGGAATTGCTTTGTTTATTCAAATTATTCATTCAACTGACATCCATTTTATTTTCTGGACTCCCTCAACAGATTTCAATCTGTAGTAAGTCACTGATTTGGTGAGAAGTTAGAACTGTCCAGATCTTCAGAATCTATATCTTCTACTCACTTTCTTATCGTCTATATAATTTCTTGCTTCCTTCTTTTCTTTATTTATTCATTTCTTCTTGTTTCTTTCTGGATCAGATTTTGCAACTGAAGTTAGTTTCTACACTTTTTCGCCACATCTCATAACCCCAGTTACACTTTTTCTGTCTTCTCAGTAACAGACAAACCCACATATGAAAATCACTCTACAACCACAATTTTAGTTTCTCAATAATACAACAAAATTTCCCTTAACTTAATTGGTTCTTTAATATCCTTTTATTAGTCAGCTTTTTCATTCCAAAAATTGGATCTTTTTAGTTTTACAGAGAATGAATATGCAAAACCCATCAATATATTCAGAGATCAAGCCTCAATTTCCAGAACAAGAAATCTTGAAATGTCCTAGATGTGACTCAATTAACACAAAATTCTGTTACTATAACAATTACAACCTTTCTCAGCCACGTCACTTTTGTAAGAAGTGTAAAAGGTATTGGACTAAAGGAGGTACTTTACGAAACATTCCAGTTGGTGGCGCCTCTCGCAAAAACACTAAACGTTCTTCTACTTCTTCAAGTAGTAAACGCTCCTCAACGACGTCGTCTTCAGCAGCACATCCAAAGTCAGAGCCTTTTCCTATACCTAATGTTGCAGCTTTTGATCAGAATAGTTCAATTCACGGGCCTTTTAGTTCGCTTTTGACATCAAACGGGCCGGAGATTGGGAATTTGTTTGAAGCTTTGAATACCAATGGGTCCAATTCGGGCCTTGTCTCGGGCTCAGATGCAGCACCTCAAAGTGAGAATAACAATACAGATGAATATTTGTGCCCTGTTCAGAATAGTGAAGATTCTAGCTGTTGGAATGGTAGTAATGATTGGACTGATGATCTTGCTATTTACAGTGCTCCAGGTTCAAGCTTTCAGTAATTAGAAGTGCCTAAAGATGATCAGAACTTGATGCACTATTAGTAATTAAGAAAAGGCATTGATATTTTGCTTAGCATAAACAATTATGTCTCAATCCAGAATTAGTTGAGATAAGCTTATATGTTAGTATTTGCTTAGTGTTTTATTAATTTAAAACCTTTTTCCGTTGCATAATTTTTCGAAGTGTTGTTGCTGATTGCATATTAGTAGTAGTATGAGTATATTTTACCTCTGGAAATTAGGTGTCAGGCCCATAAACTAGCTTTGTTTGTGTAATGCTTAATTAATACGTACGTAGTTGTGTGTGATTTGAGACTTCATGTATGTGTTGTTCCGACGGAAGGTAAAGTTGTTTTCATTAGACACGTAGGTTACGTGTTCGAGCTTTGAAATCAGTCGTTAGGGTATGCTGTTTATACCACATGCACCCTCTTGGGATGCGGCTCTTTACCGAACCTGCATGAATGCGAGATGTTTCCTGAATCAGGATAGGCTGTCTACGTCATCTTGAAAGATAGTTTTTGATGTATCAATAACCGAGATTTGCCCTTAGCTCCAATAATGTAGGCAAATGCATACAGCGTATTAGGTGCAGTAAGTATGTAATGTGACAACCTTAAATAATGCTATAGATACATAGAGACAACTTTATCGTTATTTTAATGCTATAGATACATAGAGACAACTTTATCGTTATTTCAATGCTTGCCTTCGACTACGAAATGGATTATTGTCTAATAATAGTATACGCTACTCATGCGATACCAGATCTGTATATGTAGAACGATAAGTTACTTTTTTTCGGACAACCAATTCCTTTTCCGAGAGCAGGTCCAAATTAACACTCATTATCACTTACAAATTATGAGAAAATATCTACGTAAAAGTGGAATAAAAATTAAACATGAGATCTCTTAATTTCAGTACCTTCACCTTAACTTGGTAACTACCTCGTCAAAAATTCATCAATCGCAACTTTGAAGAGCATTTGAAGGTTTCGAGTAATTAACTTTCATGTTATACCCACAATATTTATTTCTCATTTCAAATAGTTGGATCGATACAAATGTTGTAATTAGGGGTGTACACAAACCGGGTTGGTTCGGTTTTTATCAGAACCAAACCAAACCAACTATATCGGTTTGGATTGGTTCGATTTTGTTGAGTTTTTCGGGGTTTTGTTACTTAAATATTATTTTAATCTTACTTTGTTAAATTTTTGATAAGTAAATATATGATTAGTAAAAATATAAAAAATTGACAAACATATTATCTATTAAAATATTCTTATGAAAGAATTTTCTTAGTAACACATAAGTAATAATTATTTTTTTAGTCATCTGACAATAATTTTTCATTGATATACACTTTCAAGATTAACCGAATTTGGTGATTAAACATAAAAATAAATATGATACCTAAATAATAATAATCACATCACTTCACCTTCGAAAAAGATATAAGAATTTAATAGATCTTAACATATGATATGAATATGGAAGAACAAAGAGATTGATGCATTTCAGTAACACTTGACGAGAAAGTGATCATACAACCCATTATTTAAGGTTAATAAATATGGAGCACTTCATATACTATTAAATATTAAATCCCGCAAGAGAATCCTAAATATTTCTAGATATTTTTAAAAAACAATTCTATATAAAATCTTAAAAGTATATATAAAAATTATATATTTATATGTTTGTTTGGTTCAGAATTTTTTACTCAATACCAAATCAAATCAAACCAAAACTAGTCGGGTTTTTTAATCGGTTTGATTTGGCTTTTCGGTTTGGTTAGATTTGGACACAGTTGTAATCATGACCGCTTTAATTTCTTCCTTGTTTTTTTTCTTGTTGTTTGTGTTTAAAATGAATCAACGAGATGACGGGGATAGTTTACGGGAAAAGACATTAGAGATCCCAAATTCAATACTCCATTAAAGAGTTCTATACTTGATGCAATGTCTTAGAAAGGCTAGACAGGACCCTAACTTTTGCCTTATTGATATATTCTATATTTATCTTTTTTGTCTCCCCTTTTTGGTATAGTGATAAAACTGAATCTACCATCCCAATGGTTGAATCGATCTTTCAAATTAACAAATCTTCTTTTACTGCAAACAGGAAATTGAGAAGCACATTCAATTATGTAGAAGCTTGATGTGGTAGTAGGTAGAGGGGTGGGGAAACCAACCTATTTGTGAGAATGTGATATGATGATTATCAGCTAAAATTGCCAAAACAAAGCAATTCGATCAAGAGTCTATCTTTTCAAATGGCCCGCAAACCATCATGTACAACTCCCATATATGGTCCACGCTAGGGAATTTATTTAGCAATTTTAGTTCAATATTTTTTATATATGTTATCCATAGGAGTTTTTCATATAAAGGTGTGTTAAATTCTCATGTCCCCGTATTAATTCCACCTTCTATATGTGATAGTTAATCTCATTATTTTAGTGTGAACGTTGTCTCGGAATTAATTAATATCCCAAACCAAACATGAAATAAATATTATTCTTATCCTTTGGACCGTGTCGATGACAAAAGCTGGATATAGATTTCAGTTACGAATGACTAATGATTCATGACGTCTTGGAATGGATGTGTTACCAAATGGTCTAACATTAGCTACTGAATCCTTGACTTCACCCTCGTACGTAGTGTGGTGTTTAGTCTTTGTTTGCCACCCAAATTTGCAGCCTTCATCTGACTTTAGCTTCTGATGCCAATAAATGTGGTCAATTTCTAAGGTGGGGGTTTCATCAAATTGTTTCTCATTTTGAAGAAATCAGTGATCTCTTTTGCGACTGGTAGGCTAATTGGGTTGACTTTCAGCTCTTGAGGAGATCAGAACAGGATATGTCGTTGCGCCAAAGCTGTATACCACCAATAAGTTATAAGTGGTCACAACTCGTTTATGGTGTACTACTACGCATTTGGAACAAAAGCTTCGTTACATCCGTATAACTTAAATTTTACCTCTTTTTTTTTTTGTGACCTACTACGAAATTTTCAAGGTTTGTACAACAAGGCTATAGTAGAGATAGAATTTAAATTATATTCACCGTCGGTGTAAGAAATTATATATACTATCAGTTTACACACAAGATATTTACAGAAAATACGGATTTGTAATCTTGAAAATAAGATAAATTATTTATCATCATATTTAAAATGACATTTTTTTTTTTTTACACTGACGGTATATATATAATTTAAATTCATAAGATACGCCTCAAACTTGAAGGGGACGAAAGTAGAAATTCTCTTGCTTGAACTTTTTAATACCTGAGAAGGGAGAAAATTACATGATTAAAAAGGCTTTTATCAAAGTAAAGTAATATGTAGTAAATGTTCCCATTTTGTGAACAAGAAGATCAAGTCGGCTGGTGGGAGAAATTACAGAATGCAATCCATTTAATTTGAAAACCTCACGGTCCTCACTACTAACTAGTGGAGGTACTAGAGGAGGAAATGGAGGGGTTTATCTAGTTTTTGCCTCTCATTATTACTCAAGGTTGACACTGATTATGTTCCCATTTATGCCAAAGAGAATTTATGACTCAAGGGACCAATGTTATTGCCGCGTTGCTTCCAATTACTCGTCCCTATCACTTAGCTAAGAAGCAATTGCCACAATCCTCTAGTCTTTTATTTAAAGTGAAATGTTTTTTTATTTTTCAATGATTCGGTCTTCTTTCAAATTAATTCATTTAACACTGCGCGCTATAGTGACTCATAATTTTAGATAAATGAAATAAGATATATATCGATATACATTGAGACGTGTGTTCACCAAAATTTGAAAGTTCAATAAACTTGGAATGTGTATAGTCACCCAAAGTCATTCCTCTTTCGATTCAAAACAAACTATTTTTTTTCTGAACAAACTTCTTGTGCAAATTTGTAGAAAATTTTCTTGATTTCATCCATTAATGTTAAGTGAGAATGAAAAAATTTGTCAACTTCGAAAACGGGCCACGAGAATTCAGTTTCATGGTTGATCCATTCCTTTAGATATTTATTTATGCCAATTGCTCTAAACTTTTCTGGTGTGGAGAGAGAGAGAATGAGGAGATATGGAGCAGAGATACGAAGAGAGACACACATAGGGAAGACAGTCTAACCTATTTTTTTAATACAAAATTAATTTTTTAAATTAAAATATAAATACGGGCCATAAGATGCCAATAACAATAAGTTGTATTTTATTATGCCATTTATTAGGTTATGTTGTCAAACAAGGCCAAAACCCCTTTACAAATTATCTGAATTAATATTGAACTTTTATGCACCGATCGATTGCCCCCTTCCCCCTAGACACGAGTAATGCGATAGAAGGAAATGAACTTGAACATACCCTAATGGATACAATAGTTTTATATAGCCAATCTAACTATCTGAGATCGAGATGTAGTTGATATATAAGTCTATCTAAATAGCCTATCGTACATACCTTGAAACGGAAAAGGTCCAAATATGTTCTTGTACTATACAAAATTGAGCACATTTATCCTTTGTTAATACTTTAGCTCAAGAATGCCATTCCCATCATATAGTTGGTCCATATATTCCCTTAGAGTCACACAGTTGGCCCATATATGCCCTTTTCGAAACGGAATCCACCCAAACTAATTAGCTCTTTCGTTAATTGTATTAAAATATATTACAAATACTATTTCTTTTTTATTAGTACATATTTTTACCTTTCTCTTTTCTTTCTCCCTTTTTCTTTTCTTCTCTTTTTTTTTTTCCTTTTTTCTTTCTCCCTTATCCGATTTTCTCCATTGTTGATGTCTTCTTCATTTTCGTTACCAATTTCACTTCACAAAACTCATGAATTCCAATTACTAAGAAAATTCTCCCATAAGGTAATCAAGTTCCAATTTCACTGGCCCTCTAAATAAACGAAATTAAATTGTTCCAAAAATTATGGTTTAAACTTTAAAATAATAAAAACATCTCAATCTTTAACAGTACTCAAAAGACAAAAATATTTAAATTATTTCCAGAAAGATAATTTAATGATTAAAAGCCTAGAGGGTAAGTTCTAGTGTTATAAATTTGAGTTGTTAGTCTTTTTTCATCTTTTTTCAGGTGGACATTTTCTATTTTTTTTATTAACTATGTAAATTAGGGGTGTACATGGACCGGGTTGGTTCGATTTTTATCAAAACCAAACCAAACCAATTATATCGATTTGGATTGGTTCGGTTTTGTTGGATTTTTCGGATTTTTTGTTACATAAATATTATTTCAATTTTACTTTGTTAAAAATTTTATAACTAAATATATGTTCAGTA